AATCCCCTTTACAGTAAAATCAGGATTGGATGAGTATGCACTAAGGACAAATCAGGTGTTTTGCATAGAACAGTGCTTGCGGAGTATATACTGAAAGAATGAGTTAGAAGAGAGAGCAGGTGGCCACATTATACTGCATAACAGTAGTAGAGAAAAATCAGGTCACCAGCCTGGCAGTATTATCTGGCACGTGTAAATCTCAGGCCTGGCTGTACAGAATTACAAATTAATTGTCAGCTCCCATACATGTATTCATCTGTGTATTCAGCAGTTGACCCGGAGTTCAGTTTTAAAGCTCACCTTTCAAAGTTTCATATTTTTTTTCTAAGAGTTGCAGGTGACTTTTTTCCTTAACAAAAACATTTTTCCAGACAGGAATGCAAGACTGAAACATTAGATGCCAATTAAACGTATGAAAAAAGAAAAGATGAGGCACTTTGTCTAGTATGCAATGTGCAAGCTCATTGAAAGCTCCAAAAAAGGTCTCAAACAAAAGGTCTCTGATTTAAAAACCATCTCGGGGAAAAAGTGATGTCATGTGCATCTGGTGCGAACCGGGACCAGGGGGAACTGAAACAACTTGGGCTGCAAGACCTGAGAGGGGATTAAGTCATAAGACAAGTCAGAGGATTGTACCTAGATACAAGAAGTCCAATTTTGTGTAAAGTATAATTCTGCTTGGGGCAGGAAGTGAGAAAAATCATTTAGTGGCCAAAAGTATGAAAGATAATCCAGTGTGAAAACAGCTGGCTTGTTTTTTTTGTGTGTTGTTATTACTATAAAATCTCCGTCCAAAAGCAGAAGGTCATATGTTACTCATTTGATAACTAACTAAAGATGGACACCAAACATTGTTGAGATTACTTTCCTGCTCAATAGAACCAATGTACGAAGAATGCTTGCATGGGACTGCATGGGAATCATTTCTATAATGCCAGGATATATTGTTGTACTGTTTGCATTAAATCCAAGGAAACGACCCAGTAGTACAAGAATTCTGCATACACAAACTATTTACATTTACAGGAATACAGGACATACAGAGTACTACAAATATGTATACATGTATACACACATGCATATGCTATCTATCCTTTTCCAGCCCAAACCCTAGTTTGTATGCAATAGGGATACTCTAACTTAGCTTCTGTTATAGCTGGTCCACAAATCCATAGCAAACAGGACTCTTGGCATTTCAAGTGACCACATGAAATCTGGTTCTTGGTCTTGGCATTCTTTCTGAGAACTCGGGTCTGAACCTGCAACCTCTGCTTTGTATGGCGGAGACTCTTCTTGCTGAGCCACCTGGAATGCTGGTCAGCTGCCTCCACAATTCCTTGAATGATCCTGCCTTGAACCTTGTTTGTTGCGAATCCTTATCCCTTTGCTCCTCCCATGAACCTTCTATTAAAGCCATTCCTTTGCACCTCCTGATTGCCAGATTGTTGTGCTCTCTCCAGCCAATATCTTGCTCTTGTAACTCCAACTGCTGTCTGTTTCTTCACTACCACTCGTTACCAACCTCTGCCTACGCTTCTGTTTGATCCCTACCTGCTACATCTGCTACTGGACCCCGGCTTGCTCACCTCCTGGTGGGATGATCTTGAGGACAGTGACCTGATACTAACATGCAGTGTTAGGGATCCGGGTATGACCAGAAATGTGTGGACTGACACAGGGAAACGCAGGCTCCAGGTATAGTATAAACAATACAATTTATTAAAGACTAAACAATACATAAACGCAGTGCAAGACTAAACATAAACACAGTGCAACCAAACCTCCAACAGAAAACAATAGGGAACAATACTAAACGTAGTCAGGCAGGCCGGGTCGGTAGCAAACGGGCAGGCAAGGTACAAGGAGCAGGCGGAAGCGTAGTCAGGAATAGCCGAGGTCAGGACAGGCAGAGTTCATGCAGAGTCAGGATTAAAGCAGAATCAGGATCAGGCAGGAAACAGACAGGATGCAGGTACAGGGGCTCATGGGAAACATACACCAAGGCCCTGATCACAGGCCTGGCCATTCCTTAAATACACCTGCTGTAATCAGCCTCAGGTGATGGCTCGTTGCAGGAGTGAGCCTCTGGTTGCTGAGAGCACCCGCTGGCCAGCCCTGGTACTGTAGCCCACAAGGCAGGTGAGTCCCACCACCACTGGCAAGTCCATTCCTGACATGCTAAAACCCATCTCTACCATCAGGAGCTCTGGAGAATACTGGTTAGTGCTTAGACCTCACATTTTAGGTGAGCCAGCATCATTCGCCAAGGTGACCTACTTGTATACCTATCTTGCTGGTCAGTGGAAGCCTTTTTACTGCTATACTGCTATAGGTACTGGTCTCCAAACCTGATGCCTGACTAACACTCTTGTAGTGTGGTTTCTAGTGTTGTCTCTTGGCAAGGTCCTTCTTTCAGCTTGTGCTATTGGCCTTTTGTCTTGAAAGGCTTGATAACCATTCCCACATGGGTGTAGCCCTTTTAAATTGGGTTTCTACAGTACATAAGTTTACATGAAGGTCGCATTTCTGTCTGCACGCTCTAGACAGCAATGTAGTACGGTAAATAGGATGATGTTGGAAGTTCCGGGACCCCTGTAAACCAGCTTGGAGCGCACACGTGGGTATAGGGCAGAAGTGATGTCAGCTTGGGGGTGGACCGTCTATACATGCCTATATTATTATACAGTATTTATAAAGCGCCAACAGTTCGCTCAGCGCTGTACATTACAAAGGGAGACAGAACATGCAACAGTGCAATAACAATACAATGTGATACACGAGGGGTTCGAGGGCCCTGCTCCTTCGAGCTTACAATCTAGGAGGGAGGGGATAGTGGTACAGGAGGAAATAGCTGTGGGGGATGGAGTGGTAGGAAGAGTGGAGGAGGTCGGCAATTAGCAGGGGGTGGGGTAGGCTTCCCTGAAGAGGTGGGTTTTCAGGGTACGCCTAAAGGAGAGGAGAGTAGGTGATAGTCTGATGGGTGGGGTAGGGAGTTCCAGATGATGGGTGACACCCTGGAGAAATCCTGGAGGCGGGCATGGGAGGAGGAGACCAGGGAACTAGAGAGAAGGAGGTCTTGTGAGGAGCGGAGTGTGCGTGTTGGGCGGTACTTGGATATCAGGTCGGTGATGTAGTTCGGGGCAGTATGGTGGACAGCTTTGTACGTCAGTGTTAGGATTTTGAATTTGATCCGTTGTGCAATCGGAAGCCAGTGGAGGGATTGGCAGAGGGGGGTGGTGGAAACGGAGCGGTTGGTGAGGTGGATGAGTCTGGCTGCCGTATTCAGGATCGACTGAAGCGGGGATAGCCTGTGGCGAGGCAGGCCAGTGAGGAGGGAGTTGCAGTAGTCGAGTCGTGATATGATGAGGGAGTGGATGAGCTGTTTAGTGGTTTCTGGGGTTAGGAACGTGCGGATGCCTATACATCTCTTTCAGCGACCGTAGTTTTCCATCATCGGTGGGTCCCACAGGAAGGGAACACTATGACAGTACAGATTTGGATTTGCCATGCAAAATATGCACTTTTAACATGTTAGTTTGTGATAAAAAATTTTTAATAAACTGTTTTCCCATTGCTGCACTTAGATGGCGCTTCCATGTCTTTCTATACTGGATTCACACAGAAGTGGGGGAAGGGGGAAACCGCATGCGATTCTTTTCAGTGCACTGATTCAAAAACTCCTGTGCTGCCACTCAATTGTATGTGAATCAAATAAACTTGAACTTTTTAAGTGTACATCTATACGTATTGTTTTACTTTTATTGAAGCATCCATTGTCATGTGTTCCCACACCAAAGGATACCTAGTTAAATGAATAAACCCAGTGCAATCAAAAATTATTTATACCTGTGAACATACATGAAACTACCTAATACCGTGCAAATACAAATGTGAGTGATCCAAAAAGTATCATTATGCATCAAAATTAATTATATTAAAATTGTATATATAGTGAATAAATAAAGATAACATTTCCAAAACTCTGTATAATACAGTGTAGAGAATCCAACATAAATCTTCTTCCACCTTTCCTAAAGTCTGTTTATATATATTAAACCCACCAGTGTTGAGATCAATCAGCACCACAAATAGTGCTTCAACCACCTTCCAATGAGGCCACTTACCTCAGATATTTGACCTGTATGCTAGGTAGATATGCGCAGTGCCGTTTAAGGGCTCTGCTCCATACAGCTATACCGATGTCATATCATCACAAGAATTCCCATTTCTGCAATAAAGAGGAACATTATCTTTATTGATTCACTATACAGGTGAAACTCGAAAAATTAGAATATGGTGCAAAAGTTCATTTATTTCAGTGCAGCAACTTAAAAGGTGAAACTAATATATGAGATAGACTCATTACATGCAAAGCAAGATAGTTCAAGCCGTGATTTGTCATCATTGTGATGATTATGGCTTACAGCTCATGAAAACCCCAAATCCACAATCTCAGAAAATGAGAATATTACATGCAATCAATAAAACACGGATTGTACATAGAACACTTTTCACTTTTCCCTTGAACATAACTTTCAATTAATGTGCTTTGATACACCACTTTGGGAACATCCAACTTCTTTTGCAATTACCTTTTGAGGCTTTCCCTCCTTATGGAGGGTGTCAATGATGGTTTTCTGCACAACTGTCAGGTCAGCCGTCTTTCCCATGATTGTGATTCCTACTGAACCAGACTGACAGACCATTTAACCACTTGCCTACCAGGCACTTATACCCCCTTCCTTACCAGGCCAATTTTCAGCTTTCAGCGCTGCCGCAATTTGATTGACAATTGCGCGGTCATGCAACATTGTACCCATATGAAATTTTGATCATTTTTTTTCTCACAAATAGAGCTTTCTTTTGGTGGTATTTACTCCCCGCTGGGCGCTTTACTTTTTGCGCTATAAATAAAAAAGTGCAAAAAATTTGAAAAAAAAAAAGTTTCTTTGTTTCTATTATAAAATTTTTCAAACAGGCATTTTTTCTCCTTCACTGATGTGCGTTGATGAGGCAGCACTGATGGGCACTGATAGGCGGCACTGATGGGCACTGATAGGCAGCACTAAAGGGCACTGATAGGCAGTACTAATGAGGTGTCACGGATAGGCGGCACTGATATGCAGCACTGATAGGCGGCACTGATAGGTGACACTGATGATGGGTACTGATAGACGGCACTGACTGGCATCACTGCTGGGCACTGACTGGCGGCACTGACTGGCACAACCCCTGGGCACTGACTGGTGGCACTGACTGGCAGCACTGCTGGGCTGCACTGGTGGGTGGCACTGGTGGGCAGCACTGGTGGGTGGGCACAGGTGGGTGGCACTGGTGGGCACAGGTGGGTGGGCACAGGTGGGTGGCACTGCTGGGCACATGTAGGTGGCACTTCTGGGCACAGGTAGGTGGCACTGCAGAGTGGCACAGGTGGGTGCACTGCTGGGCACAGGTGGGTGCACTGCTGGGCACGGGTGGGCGGAGCTAGTGGGCGCACTGCTGGGCGGAACTTGCGGGTGGCACTGCTGGGCACCGATCATCAGGGCACTCTGACAACTGCCGGTTCTCGGCAGTACTTTCCTCACGATCTGACAGTGTGAGGAAAGTGCAGCCGAGAACCGGCACTTGCATTTCCCTCTGATCAGCGTGTCATTGGACACCGCTGATCAGGTGGTAAAAGGCCGCTGTGATTGGCCTTTTACCACATCACGTGATCAGCTGTGTCCGTAGGACACAGCGATCACGGAGATCGCCGGGTGCGCGCCCCCTGCGGCGCGCAGGAGAGCGCGTTCTGGGAGGACGTCATATAACGTCCACCCAGAACTGGCCGGCCGCGGTGAAGCCGTCATTCGGCTATGCGCGGTCGGCAAGAGGTTAAAGGCTCAGGAACTCTTTGCAGGTGTTATGGCTTAATTAGCTGATTAGAGTGGGACACTTTGAGCCGAGAATTTTGCACCTTTTCACAATATTCTCATTTTCTGAGATTGTGGATTTGGGGTTTTCATGAGCTGTAAGCCATTATCATCACAATGATGACAAATCACGGCTTGAACTATCTTGCTTTGCATGTAATGAGTCTATCTCATATATTAGTTTCACCTTTTAAGTTGCTGCACTGAAATAAATGAATTTTTGCACCATATTCTAATTTTTTGAGTTTCACCTGTATATACACTATGTATACATTTTTAATTATTTGGATAATTTTTGGGTCACTCGCATTTGTATTTGCATGGTATTAGGTAGTTTTATGTATGTTCACAGGTAGAAAATTTTTGATTGCACTTGGTTTATTCATTCAGCTAGATTCTTTATTCATTTTGTATGGGCTAAAATCGCACCGCAAAGGTATAGGTATTCGGTATCGGTGAGTACTTGACCAAAAGTATTGGTACTTGTACTCACCACTAATAAAAGGTATCAGTGCAACCCTAATTTAGACATAGGCTTAAAAAGTATTTCCTACATGGACGAAAAATATATTTGAAATATATTTAAAAAATATTTGAAATGCTACAATTTTGGCCATATTCAATATATTTCAATAAATATATATGTATACAGTGGGGCAAAAAAGTATTTAGTCAGCCACCAATTGTGCAAGTTCTCCCCCACTTAAAAAGATGAGAGAGGCCTGTAATTGGCATCATAGGTAGACCTCAACTATGAGAGACAAAATGAGAAAAAAAATGCAGACAATCTCATTGGCTGATTTGGAAAGAATTTATTTGCAAATTATGGTGGAAAATAAGTATTTGGTCAATATGAAAAGTTCATGTCAATACTTTGTTATATATCCTTTGTTGGCAATGACAGAGGTCAAACATTTCCTGTAAGTCTTCACAAGGTTGGCACACACTGTTGCTGGTATGTTGGCCCATTCCTCCATGCAGATCTCCTCTAGAGCAGTGATATTTTGGGGCTGTCGCTGGGCAACACGGACTTTCAACTCCTTTTTTAACTTTTTTTTAAATATATTCTTCAGATTTTTTTATATACAAACAAGTCATTTTAACATATATTTATACATATATTTGTAAATGCATTCCAAAAATGAAGATTTGTATTTTTAAAGAAATACATTATATTTGAAATGTATTTTTAAAAATGTATATATATATATTTTTTTAAATATATTTTGAAATATATTGAATATGGCCAAAATTGTAGCATTTCAAATATATGGCAATATATTTGGGAAGAATATTTTTAAAATATATTTCAAAAATATTTTTCTTCCATATGGGTTCTAGCCAAAACTCTTTTTTTTTTTTTGGATAGGGCAGACAAGGGTAGAATTCCTGTGCCACTGGGGAAATGTCCTTAATTTCCTGTGCTGGAGGCACAATAGGAAATGGGTGAAGTGTATTCAAAATCGTAACTGGAACAAGTGTCCCCACTGAAAGAATTCCTCTCTACTCGTGTTCCAGTGATAACTACAACATTTTAGCATTCCCATGACTTTTACCAGTGACAATGGTCTACGGGTTAAAATATTGGGGTGGATCTATCTAAAACTAAAAGAAAGAAAAATGTTTTGACTAGAGATACTCTTTAAGCAAATATCTAAATGATTATTATTATTATTATACAGTATTTATAAAGCGCCAATAGTTCGCTCAGCGCTTAACATTACAAAGGGGGACAGAACATGTGACAGTACAGTAACAATACAATGCAAAACATGAGGGGATTGAGGGCCCTGCTCCTTGGAGCTTACAATCTAGGAGGGAGGGGATAGTGGTACAGGAGGAAAAGCTGTGGGGGATGGAGTGGTAGGGAGAGTGTAGGAGGTCGGCAAATTAGCAGGGGGTGGGGTAGGCTTCCCTAAAGAGGTGGGTTTTCAGAGTGTGCCTAAAGAAGAGGAGAGTAGGTGATGTAGGTAAATAAAGTGTAAAAGCAGCTTGCTAAGCCTAACAGTTAAAAACCCTAATTATTGCAGTTGGGAGACTAGTTAGCAACTAGCAACTGTTGAACCAATAAACAACTTGGTCAGCAGTATGTAATGTATAACAGAGATGAAAGAGTGCATCACTTGGGACTATGACTAGATTGTAAGCTCGAAAGAGCAGGGCCCTCGATCCCCTCATGTTTTGCATTGTATTGGTATTGTTCTGTCACATGTTCTGTCCCCCTTTGTAATGTACAGCGCTGAGCGAACCATTGGCGCTTTATAAATACTGTATAATAATAATAATGTACAACACAGCATATACAGGGTAGTGGTTAGCACTGTATACCAGCAATGTACATCTTATATATATTCCAGTGGTCCAGCATGTGTAATGTATGACATAGGATCGGTTATGGCTATGCAACATATTCCAGATCAAAACTCTCTGTATGCTGTGTTGTTATTTACAAACTCCTGACCATTTAAATAGTGTAGTGGTGAGAGTATGTAACGTACAGCACAGCATGCAAAGTGCATTGTTTAAGAGTATGTACTGTATAACATAGCTTATGAGGTGTGCTGGTCAGACTATGTAATGTAAAAAACAGTGTAAATACTGCAATGGTCAGGCGAATGTAAAGTAGAGCACAGCATAGAGTGCATTGGTCCGTAGTAGGTAACAATCAACCCAGCAAATACATAAACTAAAAAAAAAATGCCTGTCGTTCTAAGATGTACTTGTGGAATGGTTACATACGTAAGCAGGGCTTCTATTAGATGCCAGCAATGCCTCTGCTGGCCAAGGACATCCTCCTATTACCATGTGGAAAGGGGTTTACAGACCCTCCTACTTACAGTTGAAGCGCTGCCCAATGAAACCATATATCCCAATACATAGCTCAGAGAAATGCATCCTATCCTGCTAGCCAGCCAGCATTCGTTCTCCACTCCTTCCTCCCACTACCCCAAAGGTATTGCAAATTAGACAGGGCTCATCAAGGGGGAAATAATTTAGACTATGACTACCACATCTTGAAGATGCCATGGCTTCTTCTACCCCAAAGGTATTGCAAATTAGACAGGGCACATCAAGGGGGAAATACTTTGGACTATGACTACCACATCTTGAAGACGCCATGGATTCTTCTACCCATCAGTCCCCTTCAAGCTCATCCTATCTCTTTTTTACAAGGCCCCAGTATTTCTAAAAAGGGCCCATCAAGGGGGAAATAATTTGGACTATGACTACCACATCTTGAAGATGCCATGGCTTCTTCTACCCCAAAGGTATTGAAAATTAGACAGGGCCCATCAAGGGGGAAATACTTTGGACTATGACTACCACATCTTGAAGATGCCATGGCTTCTTCTACCCATCAGTCCCCTTTTTACTCATTTTATCTCTTTTTTACAAGGCCCAGTCTTTCTAAAAAGGAACCTAAACCCTGCATACACATGTCTCAGGCCTCTGCCACTAATAGATAATGCCAAAATATGCCAGAAAATCAGTCCTCCCACCAGTGCCAACATAGATCCACTGGCAGGTGTTTCAGCACCCAGCACTGCTAACAATCTATATAGTAGCCTGAATTTTGTAGGACAAAGGAACTGAGGAACAGTGTGCAGGCAATGCCTACGTGGTGTACCCAACTTATGGCAGAACCATGAGACAGGTTGTATTGGAATGAGTTTTATGATACAGAGTTCAATGGAAGAGTTAACCAACAAAGCACAACAGACAAATACATTCTTGGCACTACAAAATCTGTGAGAACTGTTTTCTTGGTTGTAGAATACTGGAAAAAAAGTAGTCTTTGCACCACAGTAATACAAGTTCCACTTACAATTTTACAATGGCAGAGAAGTGCCCCATTGGAGGGTTGGTGGTAACATTAACTGATATTGGATTCTGCCAGGTCACAGTGGTGTATGATGACAGGAGGCTGTCTGGGAATGATGGAGTGTGAACCCCCTAAAAAGGAATCCTACATGTCCCTGTTCATCTAGAATCTCTCACTTTTACTACATCTGCTCCTTCCCTACCCAGCTCTTTCCCTTCCTACTGCCTCTGAAGGCACCCCAATCATGCTGGACTCCAATATTTATGAGGTCCTCCAGCAAGATGGTCACCCAAATCTCAAAGGTCTTTGGCATCCAACAGGATCACCATCCTCCTTAAGATGGGCATCTACAGTAGAGCCCCGGATAGGAGCCATTTATACCCCATTGGGCTCCTACCAACCTGAAGAGATGGTGCAATGCCATCTTCAGGTTGGAAGAGATACTGCATCTGCCTACAAGTGTCCAAAATCCTGGGACTGCTCTGAAGGACCCGGGACACTTGGCAGCACTCTGAATTTATTCCTCCATTAGTGTTTTTTTTGAAAGGTGCTGGTTTGCGCTACAAAATTGAAGCAATATTTTAACATGTATATATTATTCATACTTCATATTTTTGCAACCATATTATTAGTACTACATCTGCTCCTTCCCTACCCAGCTCTTTCCCTTACTACTGCCTCTGAAGGCACCCCAACAATACTGGACCCCAATATTTATGAGGTCCTCCAGCAAGATGGCCACCCAAATCTCAAAGGACTTTGGCATCCAACAGGATCACCATCCTCCTTAAGATGGCCATCTACAGTAGAGCCCAGGATAGGAGTCATTTATACCCCATTGGTGTCCTACCAACCTGAAGAGATGGTGCAATGCCATCTTCAGGTTGGAAGAGATACTGTATCTGCCTACAAGTGTCCAAAATCCCGGGACCCGCTCTGAAGGACCCGGGACACTTTGCAGCACTCTGAATTTATTCCTTCATTAGTGTTTTTTTGAAAGGTGCTAGTTTGTACTACAAAATTGAAGCAATTATTTAACATGTATATATTATTCATACTTCATATTTTTGCAACCATATTACTAGTACTACATCTGCTCCTTCCCTACCCAGCTCTTTCCCTTACTACTGCCTCTGAAGGCACCCCAATCATGCTGGACCCCAATATTTATGAGGTCCTCCAGCAAGATGGCCACCCAAATCTCAAAGGACTTTGGCATCCAACAGGATCACCATCCTCCTTAAGATGGCCATCTACAGTAGAGCCCAGGATAGGAGCCATATATACCCCATTGGTCTCCTACCAACCTGAAGAGATGGTGCAATGCCATCTTCAGGTTGGAAGAGATACTGTATCTGCCTACAAGTGTCCAAAATCCCGGGACCGCCCTGAAGGACCCGGAACACTTGACAGCACTCTGCATTCATTCCTCCATTAGTGTTTCTTCAAAAGGTGCTTAAAAAAGGCTTTTCGGGGCTTGCACTACAAAATGGAAGCAATTTTTAATATGTATATATTATTCATACTTTATATTTTTGCAACTCTGTTAAAGAAATTTGTATTCTCATATGTGTAACAGGAAGACAACTTTATCCTCCAGTACTACGCCGGCTTCATTTTCCGAGTCAGTCAGGAGTTAACACCATCCGAATATCACTAATAAACGTGTGACATCAAATACGCTCCGCTAAGTAATAAGTAATTCATAACAGCTCAAATTAATTTATATGAGATTCTGGATATAGGTCACCGAGTAATATTTATCTCTGAATTAATTTCTGTCACTGACTTATAAATGAATAAAACTGATAACTACATTAGTGTCACTCTCCAATTTAATTCACTGTTGGCAAATCCATTCATCTACGGCAATTGTGATATATGTCACACCAGGAGCTGTTTTACTTCACTTTCTGGAATCAGAAATCATGTAGAATTTTCTCTGATTCAGCAAAAATTCAGTCCCCGCCTGTCTTCTATCACATTATTTGGCAGACTGGTAGATATTAAAGCTGAATTCTAGGTAAACAGATAAATATGGGAAATGTTTTACTCATCCAAAGTTTTACATTTTTGTCCATCCAGTCCTAATTTTTTGTAACTCTGCCACGCAGAAAAGTTCCCTATAGCAGGGGAGGCGACTTGATCTTCCTCTGTTGCATTTTCACTTTCACTTTCCTTGTGACTGGAGAGCGAAAGGAGAAGCAGCAAACTCATGAGCTCTTTTCTCTGCCACTCTGCTCTCTCCTTCTATCTAGCATGCTCCTTGTACCACTTCTACCTTTACTTATTTGAGGCCTGCATTAACTGGACTGCAAAAGGATGCCAGGTTAATGCCAGAATAAGAGAGAGAGACAGCAGCGCCACTCTAAATGTAGACAGTTAAAATCAGGCAGATTTAATGGTAAAATTGCACTCACGTAGGTAGGTAACAGGTAGGTATGTCAAGTGATGGAGGTCCAGTGGGAGCATCAGGTTCTTTGGCCACGCTCTGGTTGTTTTCCCGCCTCTCAGGTGGTGTCCAGGGCTTGGGGAGTAGCAGTGGGGCACAGGGAGGCTCGCACTGATGATGTCACCCCATGGACCGGGTTTCCAAGATGGCGCACGTTCAGAACATGCTCACTCCTTCGTCAGGCCACTCTCTGGCTTAATGCCAGAATAATGTACTTACACTTATTTTATGTAATACATACTTAATATTTTATATAGGAATACAGACCTGTAATAATGTATGTCTTTCATATTTGTCTGGAGCTCAGCTTTAAAGTGATATTAAATGTAATTAACAAAAAAAAAAATGTCATACTCACCTGATTTGTACAATGGTTTTGCACAGAGCAACTCCGATCCTCCTCTTCTCTGGTCACCTAGAAGTGCTCCTGGCCCCTCCCTCCTGCCAAGTGCCCCAGAGCAAGCAGCTTGCTGTGGGGGCAACTGAGCAGGCTCACTCCTGAGCCGCTGCTCTGCATGTCCATTCACACACGAAGCCGCAGTTCGGCCCCACCCCCACTCTCAACATGTTGGTTCACTGGCTGTGATTGACAGCAGCGAGAGCCAATTGCTCCTGCTGCTGTCTCAGCCAATGAGGAGGGAGAGTCCACACAGGCTCTCGTGCACATCGCTGAATCACGATGGGGCTCAGCTAAGTATTAGGGGGCTGCTGCACACAGAAGGTTTTTTACCTGCATGTGTAGAATGCATGCAGGTAAAAAGCCTTGAGCCTTTATAACCACTTTAATGTTCTGCTTCTTTGCATACGGGGTTGAGATCGTCTATTGACCATATGAGGGGTCCCCAAACTATGGCCCATGGGCCACATGCAGCTCTGTGAAAGATTTTATCTGAATTTTATATGATGTACACATTGTCTGCTCTGGTGGGGACTCCGATGTAAGGGTGACCCCGATTTAAGTTGGGGGTCTGATGTGGACTCTGATGAAAGGAGTACCCTGATTTAAGGGGAGAGCCTGCTGTGAACTCTGACAAAAGGAGGACTCTGATGTAAAAGGGCATTCTGATGGGGCCTCTGATGTACCTGGGACTCTGATGGGGACCCTAATTTAAGCAGGGACTCTGATGTGGACACTGATGTAAGGATGACTTTAAGGGGGACCCTGACTTGAAGTGAAATCTGATGAGAAAGGTGCAGACTGAATTTATTTTTGTTTAACAATGACTCAAGTCTATTTGGAAATTTTTTAGCTTTGTTTTACTGAAGGTATTTCTCTATGATTCTGAATCATGTCTTGCTGATTACAAAATGCTTTAATTAAAATTTCTGCGTTCATTTAAAATTTATGCGTTCATTTATAGAACAAATTTTTTTTCAGTCTGTGAATATTTATAAAAAATACAATATGGCCCTCATACTGTAAAGTTTGGAGACCCCTGGACCAGATGACAATGGTAAGTTATTTGCTCACATTGGTGGATGGGTAGTGTTTATTTTGTCTGGAGGGGGGTTCTTCTTCTCATTGGTCTTCTGCAATATACTGCATAAGAAATGCTTGGTGTCATTGCCAATGATACTGTGCCCTGATAGGAGACTGAAATTATGAGGTTCGGCTCCTTTTATCCCCAGCCCAGACCCCACTGAGGGTGGAAGAGATGGTACTGAGCAGGGGCGGACTGACAACTCATGGGGCCCTGGGCAATAGGGGATCATGGGGCCCCTGTGTCCTTGCCCAAACTCAAAAAAGCCTATGAAAAAAGGTACCAGGGGCATCTCATGGGGCCCCCTACTGACCCCGGGCCCTCAGGCAGTGCCCGAGTTTCCAAATGGTCAGTCCGCCCCTGGTACTGAGAGACAAGAGGAACATGAGTGTCGGCAGGTGCTGATGGAAGAACTTCTAGCAGGAGATGCAGGCTCAGAAGGTCTGGCAGGACAGGTCAGGAATGGAAGCTGAGTTGGATAGACCAGCCAAGGTTAAAGGAGCACTCTGCATGCACCTCGGGTTCTGGAGACTTGTCAGAGCTCCCTGCAGGCTTGAGACAGGAATATACTGTGATGACTGGAGCTGAAGTTGATGACAGCTGGAGCAGGCTAAAACTAGGCAAAACTAAACACCTAAAAAAAACGTGCATGTGATACACACACAATAAAGTGTACTTAAAGTGATATTAAAGGATTTTTTTTTCAATAACAGACATACCTGCTCTGTGCAATAGTTTTGCACAGAGCAGCCCTGATCCTCTTCTTCTCAGGTCCCTCGTTGGTGCTCCTGGCTCCTCCTACTTGCCAAGTGTCCCCAATAGCAACCCACTTGCCATGGTGCTTGTTCGCTTTCAAGCCGCGATCTATGCACCCATAAGACACAGAGCTGTGGCTTGGCTCACTGGCTGTGACTGAAAGCAGTGGGAGCCAATGGCTTCCACTGCTGCATCTCAGCCATTGAGGAGAGAGAGACCTGGGACAGCTGAGGCTCCCGTGCACATTGCTGGATCGAGTGAGGGCCCAGGTGAGTATTAGAGGTCCTGTGGGGGGGGAGCAGCACACAGAAGGTTTTTTTACCATCTACCACTTTAAGGGTGTATCTCTAGTCAACCTCCAAAAGATGTAGGATTCTACCCTGGTCCCCCAGTCACAATGTTCCTCACAGGAGCAAGGCTCGACATGGTCCACCTAGCCAAAAGGCTTGGCACACTCTTCTCCTCATGGTCAGCTGAAGCCAATCACTACTAGGTAATACTAGGCAGTACTAGGTAATAGGCTCTCCCAAAGAGAACCCCCCCCATGGTTGAGCGGAGGAAGAAACCCTAATTGTCACACATTCTCCCCCTAGACTTCAGGGTAGGCCTGAGAACCCACATCCTCCATCCCAGGGGCGGACTG